CCCAGAGGATGTCATCCATAAAAATAAAAAAGTGTGGCCTAATGATAAATTTATCCTGTTGAGAGGACAAAATGTAAGACATGCTTTTTTAATCACCCTTTTAAATATCCCAGGATCACGGGTTGGTCAGTCCGGGATTAGTAACTTTTACCCACATTAAATTTGTTAAGTATGCATTTTTTGGTGGGAAATTCTTTTGATGTTTTTTTTAAGTACTTTTATCTGACTGTCATGTAAATTATGACCAATTTGAATCTTCTCATGTCTAAAAAATTTTGTGGCTCCAAAGTGTATCTGCATTTCTGTTGATATATGTACTGGTACATAGTTTTGCATAGTTTTGCAAGCCCACCTGCAATAAATTGTTCACATTTACTAGGTTGTCATCATACTTTGAGATCTGTGCATTTTTTTTTTTTTTTTTTTTTGTAACTAAATTTGATCTTAATGAAAATTTTATAATTTTTACTCCAACTTATTTACTTATACATTTACAACTTCAACCTTTTGGTTGCAATGTTTCAAATAAACTGATTATCATTAGTATTATTACTGTTAACCCTTTCCTGGTCAGAAGTCCTGAAAAGGCCCATGTAAATCAAGTTCATTTTAAATTGATCTGTTTGCATATTTTTGAACAATCAGCTTGAAATTTGGCAATTAAATGTAGGATGGTAATATCAAACAATATTTAAGTTAAAATTACTGGGTCCTTGCAGCTTTTTTTTTTAAGCAAAACACTGTTTATTTGCCTTTTTGTTTTTCAAGTTATATTGATATTTTTTTCATTAGAGATAATTATTTGTAATTATTAATTATTATCTCTGAATATCATTGGAACTCTATGAACGTTTAAGTCAGAGGAGATAATTAAGAAAAAGAAAAATAATTTAAAGTTGAGAAATACACTAGTGGTGTGACAACTACTAAATGTTGTTTTAAGAACCTTTTGAGTACACTTGCATTTTTCTATCAACAGTGAAAATTTCAAGCCAATACAATGAAAAATACGGATGCTGTGACATTTTTAGTAAAACAGTGTTTTACCGCAGAATTAGTAGAATTCCACCAGAGATAAAGATAAAATGGAGATAAATGTTTATTTATTCGATAATATATATAATATCAATAAATAAGTGTTCTGTACAAGCATTGTATAAAAAGAAAGACAATAAAAGCTGTATGAATAAAAAGTTTAAGACTTTGTATTAAAAAAGATACAGCTAAAGGATAAAAGCTATATGAAAAGCTTTTGATACCCTTAAAAAATAAGTCTGGGTTTGCTGGGTAAAAAATTTAAAAAGATGTGAGCGGGATGAAATTTAAATCTTGATGAAAATAATTTGGAACTTTCCTGTAAAATACAACAACATTGGGCATTTTCTGTTATAGAGAACGGTCCCTCTAAGATCCTTTTTATGTCCTTTCACAACAGTGGGAGCAAGGGCAGATTTAATTAATTTCAATATCCAATTTCTTGTATCAAGTACAATTTCTTGCAATTTTGTGGGGTTACAGGGTGGATCCAGGATTATTTGAAGTGGGTGTCCGTGGATGCGAAAGAAGACTCCCCCTCCCCCCCCCCCCCCCAAACCACACACACTTGGCGTGGGGTATGGGGCCCTTTACTGGGACCTGAAAATTTTTGGTATTTAAGAGGGCAAACGGTGGCTTTTGGTATGGTTTAGAACTATGATTCAGCTAGTCAAATTTCCAATTTCTTGAGGGAACCATTGGTGTGATTTTTTTTCTGAAATCGAAGGGGGGGGGGGTTTCAGGACCCCACTGACACCCCCTAAATCTGCCACTGACATATAAATACAAATTATGGTCATTTATTTTGCTGAAGGGTTGTTTTATACCAGTAGGTATAAAAGTGACAAAAATTATAAATCATTGTGAAATATAGCAATTACAATAGGTCAAGGTTCACCCAGATTTGAGGCACTTTTGGGAAGAAAGTTATTTAATTAAGAGAATTGAAAAAGAATTTTTGTGGGATTATTTCTAATAACTTGATTTATATCTACAGTAAGCAGGGGCAGATCCAGGATTATTTGAAGGGGAGGGGGGTCCGCGGATTATTATTTTTTAGCACTTTGTGTATGTACTTGATCACAGACAAATAGGACCAATGCTAGTATGTGTCAAAATTATCCTGAAAAAAGGCCATAACCTATGTTTAGAATTTTATTTTAATGCATTATAATATTTAAATTATTTTTAGAAATATTTTTAACGTAAATTTCAAACCAAATTCACACAGCTGTGGCACTGCCACAATCTATGTTTTATGGGACCTTAGGACTGGAGGGTCCATACATTTAAGTATTAATATCATTTTAACCTTAATTTATTCCTAAAATATTTTAATTAAAATGCATGTGAGTTTACATTAGTAGGTCTATTATACATTCCAATGATCCTTAACAAGAAGAAGAAGAACAACAACAACAATAATAATAATAATATTAAAACTAACCAGAACTTTGAATAAAAAAGACACCTCCTAATTAGAATTGCTTTAAAGTGAAAGAAGACTCAAGGAAAGGCTTTGCTTGCTTGGTTTTGAAATGTTGCTCTTATCTTGAAGGACTTTCACATTGAGGCACCATGCGGTAAAATTCAAATCGAGGCTAAATCTCAAACTGATTCTCATTGGACCATTTTTGCGTTGCACAAAGAGTCGTGTTTTTTGATTGGTTACCTTGCTGGACATTTAATTTTAAACTATTCGAAATTAGGTTTCAAAACACAAGTTCGACTTCTGACTCTGTTCCTTTGCAAAATATGTCTACCCAAAACATAGATCCAGCTGCCAGCGGAGCAAGGAACAAAGATATGTCAGATAAAGGGAATAAGCCAAAAGACACGCATTCTGTTAGTAAAAGGTAAGATTAATGCGTGCCGTACTCTGTAGTAATATGATAATATGATGAACAAAACGTTTTATTGAATCATTTTCTTCATTCTTGCAATACATTATCCTTGTATTTTACATTTTTACGGTGGTTTACGTTTAAGTTTCAACTTGTAATATCCCTATTGATTTTCACACTAAGCACAATTGTAAATATAAAAACTAATGTATACTCGAGTTGCCAAACTGAATATAAAGAAATTTGTTATTTTTGTACTACAGATTGCAGCAAGAGCTGATGTCGCTTATGGTAAGTCCTGGGCTTGAAGAGTTAAATGCAAACACAGGGAATTTTGAAATTTTAAGCATAAAGTTAAGTGTGATTGATCAAATCAATATATAATATTTCACAGGCTGCATTGCACAGTGTAAGATTTCATCTCCTGTTAAATAACCATACAGCATATGAAGTTCATGCACTTAGGCAAAACATGTATTTATAACTTACACTTAGTCCCTTTAAGTCTATTCATGATATTATGGAAAACCTGTGTTGTATGTGTTAAGCCTCTTGCAGGTTTGAAGCCTGTGTGACAGCTTCTGATATTTGCTTAAATTCATACACACCCCCTCACATCTGTAATTTCTCATCATTTTAGGAAAGTTTGAACTATTGCACTAATCTCTAATGGTCAGTAGCACGAGTCCATTGATAACACCACAGTATACTATTTGAAACTATGGTGGTATTTTGTTGGTTTTAGTGGCATTGGTACAGCATAAGTATACTTGCTTGTGTGGGTTTCCCCAGAATTTGGGGTAGAGGGTATCCAAAATGTGAATCTGTAATTTGGTCTTAAATGTTCAGACAGTCCATCTAAGTAAGGCAAACTAAACAACCCAAAATTTTTGTAAGCCGTCCAGCCCTCTTTGAAAATAAAGGTATGTAGGCAGTCATTTGAGGCTAAAGGCTGTGCAAATGACAGCTGGTTATGGCTCTCTGGGAAAGACCTGCTTGCTTCATATGTGTCTTTAACTCTTTCCATTGGTTGTTCCAGATGTCTGGTGAGACTGGAGTATCTGCCTTTCCTGATGGTGATAATCTGTTCAAATGGGTTGGAACTCTACAGGGAGCAGAGGGGACTGTAAGTACAATGATTAAAAAAAAAGTTAAGCTGTCCAGCCATATTTGAAAATATAGGCCGTCTTTGGAGGCCATTGGCCATCCAAATGACGGTTGGACAGATGTTGGGAAAAGCCTTTTTTGTAAGACACATTTTGACTCTTGGTGAAAAAATAAAGTGAGCTTAAGTAATAATATTATTCACCAGGAAGGTTATGATTTTGCTTTTGTGTGTTGTTTTTGTAGTTTGCCAGACTCATGTAGGGATTTTAATAGCATATTCACTGTAGACTAACTAAGATCCAACTTTATTAGGATAGTGATTCACTGATTGATTGATAATTGAATAGCAGTTAGAACTGAGCTGCTTTGGTGGAGGTCTGCATGCCTTGTTAGTTTAAGGGACCACTTCCTCAGATATTTGGATCGATCTATCTCCCTGGGGAGTCTCACTAAATTGCTATCAGCTTAACTGGCTAAAATGTTTGTCACACCTAGTAAAGCTGTCAGGGGTTAATTATCTTTACCCCATAGCTGATTCGGTAGGCGTTACAGACATTTAAGTTGGTTAGTTGATAGCAATTTAGTGAGACTCCCTAGGGAGTTAGACCAATCCAGATGGGTCAATCTAGGCATAGGAATCCTGTCTAAGATTTGTATCTGTTTACCTCCCAGGTGTATGAAGGTCTGAAGTACAAGTTAACACTGGACTTTCCAAGCTCCTACCCCTACACTGCTCCAGTGGTGAAGTTTGACACACCCATCTTTCATCCCAATGTGGACACCAACGGCAACATTTGTCTGGATATCTTGAAGGAGGAGTGGTCAGCTCTCTACACCGTGAAGACAATATTGATTTCAATTCGCAGTTTGCTCGGAGGTAAGGATCATGAACATTATGGTTTCACACATTATCCATATGCATGTGGGTTAGTGCATACACATTAGTCCGGTTTTTTAGATCGTTTTTAAATGTTTTTCATATCCTATTTATCCTTAAGAAGGTCTATGTGTGTGTAAAAAGTGTATGTATCCTTGAGTATTATTCGGAGAAAACCCAAGATAGCTGCAAGTTATCATAGGAATATATCATTCAAATGCAAATAGGTGTCATTTAGTGGAACAGTTCAGACATTGATTCCAACATGAAATAAAGCCGTTTGATGTTCAAACATGTTGACATCCTTATTAACCTTACTCTATATAAATCTGGTGTGTAGCAAGTGTGTCTTGCAGATATGTATCATGGGATAATAATACTAAAAAATAACAGAATGACAACTGAATTCCGCTTCATTTTATATGTTAGCCTATCTACCGCAGGTATTAACTGAACCCCACCTTCTATGGCTAATATGGCAGCCATTTTGTTTTATTTTCTTTTCAAAAAGGATACACATAACATTCTCATCATATATATATTATGTGAATTAAAAAGATGTGGAAAATACTCAAATACAAACCTAACTTATCAATTAATATTATATCTCCACTGCAGAAGAAGCCCTATGTGTATACTAGTATTCCTTTGATATGGCAGCCATCTTGGATTTTTCTCGAAATGCCTGAGAATAAAGGTTAGTTACTCACCACAAATATATTATTTGTGTAATAAGAAATAATTAGATAGTGGGCAATGCATCTTCCTAGTTGGCATTAGTTAGTTGAAAACCCGTGTACATGATCTACAGTAGTATTCCTATGCCATATGGCGGCCATCTTGGATTTTTCAAAAAGTCCAAGGACACTTGTTTGTTATCTGACACATATGCATTATATGGGTAATAAGGATGTGGAAATCATTGAGAAAATACTTAATATGATAAAAAATAAACATAGGTATGTATATATTTCTACAGAATTTCACAAATTGGCGGCCATTTTGGCTTTTTTGGCCAAACGGTAATTTTTTTCCGTGGGCTACGGCTCTAATTTGGTTTAGTTTGTCAAAAGGTACCCACATGCAAAATTTGGTGCTTTTATCCGCCGTGTCACGATTTGGCAATTTTTTTGCCCTAAGCAACCGGACTACATATCGCAAAGGGTAGAATGGGATTTTGAATATGTTTCATTTATGTTTTATAAAACTATTTTGCCTGACATTGTGCTTTTTGATTGTGATTTTTTAGAAGCTTGTTTTTAAAATATGCTTCTGTTCATTTATAGAATGCTTTTATAAATGGGGCTGTTTTGAACTTTATCGAAATAAAACCTTAACAAAACACTGAGGGCAAAAGTTGGAGTTTCAAGTTTGAAAAACAAAACAACATGTATTATGATGTGTTTTGCTAGTACAGTTTTGGATTTCATTCTTAATAGCTGTTTGGTTGAACTGAATCATTTTTGTTTAGTGGTAGATGAAAAGATAGCTTGATCAGTTATTTATTTCAGCTTGAGTATATAGTAAAAAAATTACAATTTTAAATAAAGATGTGCTCAAGTAAACAAACTCATATTGCCACTTATGTTAGTGACTGTAATTTCCCTAGCCAAGATGAACATACAGTAATGCTCTGTATCCTCTCCAGGGAGGTGAGAATGCCTACACCCAGTCTGAATGAGGGAAAAATATGCCAGGCATATTTCTGTATTGTTGACTATTTAAAACCATGCTAAGATGCAGTGGAGTGGTATATGAGAACCAGACTTTACTATTTATTGTACAGTACTTTTTTTACTTTTCAATTACTGCATGTGTGGCAAACATTGCCCATAGGCTTGCTATTCCAAAAATAAATATTTCCATCAATCTGAAGTCTTATGCCAGAGTGTTGCTCCCGTGTACATCTTGTCATAGGGCACAAACACAAAACATGTTCCACTGTTTCAACTACATACTGATAGCTGTAGTTCCTCAGGTTAACCAAGGGTGCCATGCCAAGTGCAAGAAATATCTTGTAAATTCCTTCACATTCTGAACACTACTTCTGCTTTGGGTCAGTGAATTCTTATACCCTGGCAGACATGCTGAAAACTTTCCAGAACGGCCGGACATTTGGACCGGCAGTAATGAAAAATTTGCCGGACCAAATGGATTTTTGTTGGACCGAAAATCACCCTATTCGTTTGAGACAGATACTACCAGTACGATTAGGTAGCTTACTTTGTTTGTGGATGTGATAAGTTTGGAATGGAGGGGAAAAACGTTTTGGGGTTTATATAATTTTATTAGTGAAGTATGTTGAATGCATGTAAATTCAAAATTGTGGTTCTTAAAACTCTTGTCGGTCCTTTTGGACTGACTAAGTCCAATTTTTTTACTGGTCCAAATTTTCCCGGTCATGACCGATCGGACGGACAGTTTCAGCATGTCTGCCCTGGGGTCTCCAAGGGCCAATTGGGTTAAAGTTTTTGGCAGTCACTCTACTTGATGATGTCCTACCTTCAAACACACTGTCTGACAGTGACAATGAAAATTACCACAATTTTTTAAGCTGAAGTAAAAACAAACAAAAATTAAGGTCTATGGGTTTCATATCTAGTTGAAAACCTTTTTTTCCCTGCAGATAAATGTACTCAAGTTTTCCTTTTTTGTTTTCAGAGCCAAATAACAATAGTCCACTGAACACACATGCTGCTGAACTGTGGGAAAACCAAGTGGCATACAAAAAGCTTCTCCTTGAAAAATACAAGAAGGACGTAACAGACAAAGAGTCATCTTGAGTTAAAGACTATTTATTTGTCACAGGAGGACAACATAACTGCAAGGATAGTAATATACAACAAATGTATTTTTATACACAATATAGTGTCTTGGACATTTTTCTTTTCTTTATGAAGCCCTTAGGTGTGCTACTTTTGCCAAAGGAACAATGATATGATATGGAAATGAAAGTGCAATTGATGTCATAAAAGGGGGATGATAAACACTTTTAAGTTAAAATAGTTAAAACTATGTTCATAAGTGGCAGAAGTTCAACTTGGTAAAATGGCAGGGGGGTAAATTATTTGTTTGAAAATGAAAATGAATTAACATAATAACTAATTGATAAAAAAAAAAGAGACAGCCTTCGGTGAACAAAGTTTAGTAGAGAGCAGGGTAAAACTGGTGTTGACACTACAGTAATATACACCCAGAATACTAAATATTTATTGTGTAGATTTTGTGTGCATTAATAATATAAAGATGTGCTCAAACAAGTGTTCTATCAAAAAGGAAGAGGGGGGGGGGGGGGTTGCAAAGTTTAAAATATAAAGATGAAGTTTAGGCCATTCTCTATAATGTAAAAAAATTGAATGACAGTGATGTTTAAATGGAACTGGATGTCTGTGGCATTGGCTGTAGAGGTCTGTCTGCTGTGAGAGTATTATTAGCATTATTTCTTTCTATATGGTTTCATGGAATTCCCTTTCCAAATAAAGGTATCTTTTCCATGTTTTGTTTTTCTGCTTATTAATTATCATTATTTTTCAAGTTTTTTTGTTGATGATACTGTCAAAAAATGGTGTTTAACTTTGTAAATGCGATCTGGTTTTTATGACCCCATTTAGATAGATAAAAATATGCACTCTGCATTATTCGTTTGCTTATTACCGAAACCAAGGGATATGTAGGGAGTTAAATGGAGTACACCCATTTAGGTGAATTTGCTAGTCATTTTACATGAAGAAATTGTCAGAAAAATGGAATTATTTGGTATTCAATACACTGTTTGCCTACTGTGATGATGTGAAGTAAATCTATTCACTGCACGTTGAATTGTATTTTCATTAAAAATGCTCAATTGCATTTTTTCTACACAATTTTCGTGAGAATGCCCATGCAGGCAGCAGGAGACGAACACTGACGATCCAGATCACCTCTGGTTTTCAGAGTTAATTGTTGTTGAAATTTCTGATAAGAAATGACATGGAAAATCATAACTTCACTTGTAATTAATTTGGGACATTTTTGTCCTGACCAATCTAATTTTTGGTATTTTTTTTGTCTATGATCAGATGTCTATATGCAGCTAAGCCAATGTTTCTTATAACTGCTGACAGGAGATTTATATATGCAAGTCTTTATTATATGTTGCGAACAAGTTTTTTAATTATGTCAAAAGGAAAAGGCCTGTCTTTATACTATTCTAAATATGTTAAAACGTGGTGTGGACAAACAAACTTATATCAACTATGCCAATATTTAAAATCCTCTTAAACGTTTTAATAACGTTTACACGTTAAATTCGGTAAAGGCTTTGCAATATCCAAACTGACATTATCAAGAAATCCACAATCTTAGTTGTTGACAACCCCGCCCTAAATCGTATGTCTTAGAGGCTTGCTGAACTTTGGGTGCTACGATCGTTTCTAGCAACTTAAATTGCCGCGTAGTTCGTCTTGATTTTTGGATTTTTATTTTGAAGACAAGCGCGCCATCTGCCGGCATATCTTATCATCTGTGGGATGGCGGAAGAAGGAGGAGAAAGCGTGGTCGACGACGACCCAGTCACACTGCGTTAAGAACATGTGGAACACTTAACGGGCACATTTATCATGGGAAAGTACGGTCCTATCGGAACGGTCCTCTTGGTGGGGATCCAAGTTGGATTTATCTTTTGTTATGAAATGACAGTACACAATGGTTTAGAAGACGAAGATCATATTGTTAACGTTGACGGTTCGAGCAATGAAAGCCATGCCAACCATACGCAGCATGAAGAACACAGTTCGTATCATGTCGTTGTATGGGACTTTGCACGTGTGGCGTCTCCTTTTGTTATATCGGCATGGATTTTACTGGCAAGTGTGGCGAAAATAGGTAAGTTTTTTTCTCCAGATTTTTTGACAGCTGTTGTCTTTTGTTTTTGTTTTTACGTACGTTCGTTGTACATAATGGTTTTTCACATTCTGGTAACCATTTTCAAACTGCCATGGTTTCACCAGTTCGCAAGACAAGGTTTGGACCTTGTTCTCTTAGAATTAGACAGGATGAATATTTGAGGTATCCTTCCCCCTCTAATACGCGACGGCAACGACTTTGGACCAATCAATACTCAATATAGGCGCTTTTAACACTGGCCAGTCACGTGGACGTTTGATCGAACAGCTGAGTGATATTGACATTTCTTTTCTGGTGTTTTACAATACAACAAAGAGCCGCGCTTACATGAACTATTGCCACAATACTCCTCGGTTCAAGTAACTTGATGTATTAATTTATGTGCATTCAGTGTATGCAACAGCAACAAAGCTGTGTAAGTTACTATGTAAGAAATCCATTCAAGTTCACTCGAGAAAGTTTGTCTTTGCAGACTTGTGATGTTGTTTTCGGGGAAAATGCCTAGGGTAAAATGATAAATGTTCCGGCTCATTTTTTTCACCAAGTTTCAATTAACGGTCTGAAAGGTTCGCGGTGAGGTTTTATCACGTCTATTGCCCCCAAGTTGGCCTTTAGGGTAACTGCTACAGAAATAAGAAAACATTTTTTTCTGAATGCCCAAAGCATTTTTGCTGTCTTAATTGAATGAAATGTGTCTATGCAATAAGTTAAACACAATTTATTTTGTATCCATGTTTTTTCACAATGCCAGTGTCATCCCTGAAATATGTAGCACAGGCCTATTTCAGGCTAATACTTTTCCAGGCTGTTTAGACCTTAATTCAAGAAGATTTTGTCTTAGAAAAGCAGAAATAGAAGCACACAAGTCCTTAAACTGGTATATCACTCTTACATCTGTGCATAATAGCATTAGGCTACCATTACTCTGCCATTACACCAAGAGAAAGATACCGCCGCCTGATAGAATAAACTGCAGCGTTTTCTCTTATCTCTTGTATTTTAACACTCAAAGTTGCCCTCCTATTTTTCTTTGAAATAAGATGGTAGCATATTATAAACAGATCTATATAACAATGTATATTGTCAGCTGTATTAATCTGACATTCTATATATTCCAGGATAATAAGGCCTTTCTTTCCATTACTTAAAATTGTGCAATTCATCAAAATTTGGAAATATTTACATCCTTGGATTTGCACTGAGTGAAATTAAATCCTGTTTGATTTTCTTGTGAAGGATGTGATATTGGCATAAATAAAGATTCCGAGAAAAACAACTTTTAAATTTTTTATCAACTCAGGTAGGCAATGTTATTTTTGCTGCGTCACACAGGAAGGAGGGGGAGCAGGAAGATGGCAGGTGACAGGGGGGTATGTGAGGGACTGTTTACAATGAATTTTGCTGACCTAGCTGAGGTACATTAACTCTATGGGAATTCATGCTGAATGCAATGAGATCATTAACAGACTGGCTTGCTTCCTCTTGTCTTTAATGTACTCCTATGCTGGCTTTTCTATTTTCTACTCAGATATGCTGAAAACTATTCAGAATGGTCGGACATTTGGACCGACAGTAATGAAAAAATTGCTGGATTGAATGGAATTTTGTCGGACCAAAAATCCCCCTATTTGTTTGAGACAGAAACTACCAGCATTATTATGGTAGCTTACTTTGTTTGTGAATGTGATAGGTTTAAAATGGAAGGGAAAAATGCTTTGGGTCTTATATAATTTTATTAGTGAAGTATGTCGATTGATGACTGTAAATCCAAAATTGCAGCTCTTCAAACTCTTGTTGGTCCTTTAGACCAACCAAGTCCATTTTTTTACCTGTCCAGACAAATTTTGTCGTTCATGACCGATCGGACCGACAGTTTAAGCATGTCTGCTCAATGCCAGGAAGAGGCATCCTGGTTCGGTGCTTAAGCATTAAGTGAATTCCTGATATCAAATTATGTCAGAGCCACATTTCTTGATAATAGAAACACCATAGATGATTTGTCAGAATATGATTTTTGACTTAAAATATGTTATAGGTCCATTACTCTGTTAATTTGATTGGATTCAGCAAGAGTCCTGGTTGGAGTTAGTGTGCATTAGCTGGGCCGACAAAATTCACTGGGAAAGGTCCATCCAAATAAGAACTGAGACACCACTTCCTGTTACGAAAAGGGACATCGGTGAAAATTTATATTCAGGATGACTCAAAGTTACACGTACTTATTAAGTCCGTAAAAAAGAAATACACCCGGAAAAATCAGGGGCAGATTGAGGCCATAGGAAGACGGTCAAAAATGGAGGATGGATCAACAAAGATGATTAGGAAGACTGTCAATAAATATCTCTGGATCCGCCCCTGAAAAGAATAATAATTCATTATCATCCTGTTTGCTTCTGTACATTTTTCAAAAATGCCTTATATATCTACCATTTACACTGTGTGTGTGTATGTGTGTATATATGTGAGTGTGCTTGGGTGTGGGCATCCATCAGAACAAAGTGATTTAGGAATATAACTCAAGTTGTTGAAAAATCTTATTATGCATACAAAGGGATGATTTCAGATATTTATACCTTCAGTAATGAACTCCATTCAGAAACACACATTTTCTTACAATAAAGTCTGATGTAATGCTAGAGCTATCTTTTTGAGCTATTTCACAGTCTTAATTATCAGTAATAGTATTGTTATTGTAAAAAATATCATTTTTCGAGCAGATTCTAGTACCTCCCTGAATGTTTGCTGTTTCAAAACCTGTAACCAGGTTAGGTAGTCTAATTAGGAAGCTGTACAAATTGATAAACAGATGCCATGCAAACATTTCTCTCAGAGTTGTCTAATCTCATGGCCTTGGCTCAGGTTAAAATGAATTTAAACATGCGTATATATCGATGAACATTGTGAACCGACACCAAGCACAATAGTCTGCTATGTCCCACGCAATTTTTATTTCTAAAATCTGTTTCTGCTATTTACAAAATAATAGTAAGTTTAAGTAATGAAGATTATGTTAAGACCATGTGTCATTTTCATCCCTCTCGGAACAAGTTTGACAGTTAAATTAACAAGCAGATCTCGAGTTTTCATCCGTTTTAAAAGTCTCCAACTAGAGACGTTCAAAATACAGCTGGTAAGCTTAGTAGTATAAAGAGACACTTAAGCTTTCCTTAGGTGTTTTTAAGACATTTTAAAACATATCTTTAGAGAGAAAGAAATTTTGGAAAATATCTTTCGAGAGAAAAAGAGAAATTACATTAAATGGAGAACTTGGCATTTAGCACAATTGGCTTGGCGCAAAGGACCTGTTCTCTTGAAAATGGCTTTCAAATTAGCTCTAAGGGTGAGCTCCTTTTAGTTTTCAGATATCCCAATACTGAATATAAATATTTTTACGAGGGATTTGGAATTATAATAATGATAATTAAAGAGCTCAGACATTTCTTTAAAAAAACCAAGATGAACTTTATTTGATCTGATGACAAATTTTGGAGTTAAAGTGCAAAACTACACATTGTGATGTTTTGGTTGTGAGTACCATGAGGCATGCTCCATATAACTCTTAACTTGTTTAAAAGTCTTTGCTTTTGTGTCTGAATTGATAGATACATGTATTTCAGTGTTTTATACACCCCTTATGAGCAGAGAATTAATGAGAAAAGTTGTGAAAAAGTGTCAGAAGTGACTTTCATATATAGACATTTTGTACCTTGAGCAAGTTGAGATTTGGGAACAAAAAACACCAGTGCACAAGACAGCTGTTGCTGCCATTAAAAAAAGATAAGATTATTAATAATGAACTGCTGTTTATCTACACATTTGGACTATTCCTACTTTTGACTTAAAAGGGACATTTTATGGCAGATAATGTAAAAATCAATAGATCTTCACATTTTTCTGAACTGTGTTGCGTGCTGTACAATTTATGTTTGTCTGCTCCAGATGCATGCTGTTATAGTTTGTAAAGATAATGATGTCACATGTCTTGAACTGTCTGTCATGCCTGTTTATAATCACCAAGGGACATGTCATACTTGCAGAGCTGTAAGCATGCATTTTTAATATAATCTCAATTCAACTACTGAGGCTAACTGCAAGTGCCTTTTTACTTTGTGGAAGTGTTTTGCTTTCACAGATCAACCCATCTACAGTATTTATTTAGGTATTTTATTACATGGTTTAGGCAGTAAACACATGCTTGTTGACAGTGCTTGAGAATTTTTTTTTTAAATGATTTTTTATAAATATGAGGATGTGTTTTGGTTTGTTTATATTTCTTAAACTAAATGGCATTAACATTTTAGAGAAGAGAAATGGAGGTGTTGTGGAAGGGGGGGGGGGTACATGTATATATGTATGAACTTTGGGTCACATATTTCGATTGCTGTCAAAAAGGATCACTTTGTCAGGTGTTTGTGATCCAGACACAGTTGTCAGACGTAATTTCCAGCTGAAAATACCATTGAGTTTTTCAGGCAAAGAAAAGAAGTCATGATAAGTCAGGTGAATGATTCAGTGGGAAGCATATATACCAGATCTCTTCAACTTGAATAAATAAGCATTATCCCTCTCTAGTGTGAACTTGAGTGTATCTCCTCTTCTACCTGCTGACTAACATGCCTTGCTCACTACTGCACTGACTCAGATGAAAACAAAAGAAAGTGTCTTCAAAAGAGAGAGAGGGTAGATATTTTTGGTCTAGTGCTTTTCAATCATTTTGCCTACACTTTGGGCCTGTTATCAAGAAGTGTGGTGTTGACTTAATTTGATATCAGGAATTTACTTAATGCTTGGTACATGGAGTTTGTAGTGAAAAGCCAACCTTGTGTACACATTGCTAGAATATGTGGAAATAAAAACTAAGTTTTAAACAGGCCATAGAGCCAGTATACTTCTGTTTTGTCTGTCTGGTGCCCCTTATCTACATTTTCCCCTTTAATATCATAGTTTCATAGATGGCTTTTTTCCAACAAATGATTTACAAAAGTAACAAAATATAAACGAAACGTGTAATTTACCAGAGCTAAAGTAAATTGTTTTTAGTTGTAGGTGAAAATTAAACATGGGCAAATTCACGGAAAAGGGCTGGAAGACATCAGCCTTAAAACTGGAATAGTCTGTATTCCATGTACATATGGTTGGGTATCCTTGGCTGTCAGTTTCCATGGCCAAAAGTGGCATTTTGGGTTATTTGTCAGATTGGATAATTGAATGAAACATCTAATGATCTTCTGTAAGTAGCCCTGTGTGTGTCTTAATGAGAAATCATCAAGGCGCAGAGAGCACTAAACCAAACTGAAAAATGCTTTGATGAGCTCTTATTAAAGAAGACGAATCTTTGATATCTTGATCACCATTGAGGAGCATGCAACCTGGTGATAACAAATCCCTTATTTACAGGTATATTGAAAAAAAAAAAGGAAAAAAAAAGAAACGGGGAAACATGATTTAGAGCCAACTTAAAGGAGGCAATTCTAGACTGATTTTGAAAAAAGTTTGTTAAGCTGTTGGTGGGTCTGGTGTTGGAACGAATACATACTCATTTTTTCACCACTGGAATGTTCATGTTTGTTAATGTAAATACTATAGAAGTTGTGTACATTATATTCCATGCTGTAGTGAAGGGGGCAGTGTACAGGCTTTCCATCATCTCACATCTTACCATTTTCTGTCTAGTAGCTGTTAAATGTTATATGGCTTTTTTTTTTTAGAGAAGTTAGAACACTATCTCTAGCTCAAAATTGCAATTTTTGAAATGAAAACATGGAAAATGCAAGTAACTTTAGCCGAGTGAATATTGTTATTAAAACATTAATTTTTATAGCATATCTTAGTTTAGAAGTTCAGTTGATGGTCTTTATGTAATAGAAGATTTTTGTCAGTGTTTATACCCCAAACCTGTATATTGTCACTAAATTGTAACTGTTATAGTTTACATAGCAGCAATAGACAATATTTCTGTTTGAGCAGCTGCAGTAGCTACAATATTAGCTCTGATATTTTGTTTTTATTTTATGATATTTAGACTTGGCTGTTTGTGTGAACAAAAAAAAAAAAAAAAAAAAAAAAAAAAATTCCTTCTCACTTCAAATTGTGCAATAAAAGGGCAGCTGATCCTTACTGTAATGTTCATTACCTGACAATTGATACAAAGATGTGTCAACACTGCCTTATTACAGAAGCGTTAAAATCTTGAAGTGGGATTTTGCGCAGTGAAAATCTTAGTCTCAAAATAGGAACACATAAAGCTAAAACCATTTCTTTAAAGACATGAACTCTAGTTTCTTGGTGAAAATAGGGGAGACTGTCATTTCTCCTTGATGCTACCCCAAGCCTGTAGCAGGGGGTGGGGGAGGGGTTTGGAGGGCTCGAAAGAACCACTCCTTTTGCAGGGAAAAGGTCCGCTCTGGGTAAAATTTGATCTTGGTACATGAAATTTTTATGGTAAAAGGTCCACTTTATGAGAAAAAGAATTCCCCCTCCCCTAATTTACGACTAAAATACATTAATATTTATCTGAAAAATTCAGAATTTCCTCATTGAAAAGATTGAGTCATTACCATACTATTTTAGGGTCATAGATTAAATGGAGTCCTTGTTCAGATATTTGGTTAACCTAATCATGTCTAAAACTTGCACTGGAACCAAGGACAGGAAGAACTGCCTTTAAATCATTGCACCTCACATAACTTAGTTATCTTTACTTTGTCAGTGAATTAATTCTAGGCTGATATTATATTTTCAAATTTTCTGACACAAAATAAAGGTTCTTGCATGGCATTAGATCTGTAATGAAAGGTGCTGGTTTTCCAATTTGGATCAAGTTTTATTATCAGGCAGAGCACTGAATGACCCAGATGTGGCCTGGGCATTTAAGTTACCTGGATTGAGATTTTGCTTTCTTGTTCCAGCAACTAAATTGAATGATTTAAAAAAGGAGCATTACCCCAGGTTGTGATGGCAGATATTTGTTCTTTAATGTATTACTTTCTTCTTTCCAAAGTTTTACTCACAAAACATGTCAAAAGAATAGTTAAGTAAAATCAATTACCACTATTTAGAAGAAAATTCGATTACCTGAATTTGAAATATTGATTGCAGAAAATGTATGCTAGACAATTTTCAGAAAATTGCCAGCTTTAGACAATGAGTTTTCCTGTATTAAATTCGCAGCTGAGGGCAGAGTGGACTATTCCACATAAGAGAGACAGAGTGCCACTGCATTCTCACATCATTCTAGCTGGGTTGGTCCAACTCTGCAGGGGATTCTGGCTTAAGTGCAGGCAGTGGAATCAGCTTAATTGCCTGACATGCCTCCTTGAGCAGCTAGGGGGTAATTTACGGACTTGTGCTGATTAAGCTGATTCCACTGATTGCAGTTTAGCAAGAATTCCCTTCAGAGTCGGAATAACTCATTTAGTATGATGTGTATCTGAATGCACCCTCACGTAACAGTATTTGAAAACATTAATTCCGTCTCATCTCATATTATAAAAAATTAAAATCTGTCATTGTTTTGGAGAGCCAGACATTAATTTAATATTGTTGTTTAAATAATTATCCTAGATAGAAGGGACATTTTGTTCCCAGTTGTAAAATAAACAGAAATACAAAAGTGCTCCTATGTTGCAGTAAATTGGCTCAGACCAATAAGCTGCAATATAATGACTTGAATATAAACATGTTAACAATAGTACTTTCATTTGAAACTGGAATGTTTTATTCATTTTTAATTCATGCTGTGCAAATGTCACTATAGACAAACAATATCAATTTTGATGAGAATAGTGCTGAATGAAATTGTTGGATAACAGCTTTAGAAAATTTTTTATGGAAGAAAAAAACATGCAAGAAATGATGGCAAATATAATTAAGTATTGATCTTGGTTTATATAATAAATTAAAACCATACAGTGAATAAGCCACAAAATTCAAATAGATCTTTATTTTTATAAAAATTATTTGTTTGTTTAAAGCTGAAAAAAAAAAGATTATTTGCAAATGTTCAGATTAGCAAGTGACTGTACCGTAATTGTTAAACAGTTTTATGAACACAGTGTGTTTGAACTTTAAGTCATCACCTGCATCTGCCAGTTGCCAGTTGCATTGCTGCCTGTGCCACCATGCACTTTCCTAGTTTTGAACTTGTTAATGCCAATTATCAGTTATCTGCTGTAAAGGCAACTTAAGCAAATAGATTTTAAAAATAGAAAACATTCTAATTTTATCTTAGGCAAAAGGTTTTTTTTGACAGGTTTGCAGGTGGAAATGGGAAATTCCATTTTCATGATTAAAATAAAATGCATTGGTTAGAATAATCAGTTTTTTTTCTGAATAATGAATCTGATGTGGGGTACTAAATATTGCTTTAATTGTATTGTTTTATCTTTTTAGGTTTTCATCTCTACAACAAGCTGTCCTCCATTTTCCCAGAAAGTTGTCTACTGATCGTCCTGGGTGTAATCATTGGAGTCATCCTCTACCTCTCCAATGCATCCAAAGAAGCCTACACCCTCAACGCTGAAACTTTCTTTTTGTTCCTGCTGCCACCTATTGTATTAGAGGCAGGATATTTTATGCCGAGCAGGGCATTCTTTGACAACATCGGCACCATTTTGATGTTTGCGGTGGTTGGCACGCTTTTCAATACATTCTGCATAGGAGGCTCCCTCTATGCTTTTTCGGGAGGTGGTAAGTTTTAGATGAAGCTTGAGGTGCGTTCGCATTGAAGATAAGTAGGATCTTTACAGTTGGACCCTTTTCTGTAGACCATATGTTTGCGAGTAAGTTTGATCAAAATCAGTCAAAAAGGCTCAAAACAAGGTTTTCAGCTCTGTATGACATAATAAGAGACTAGAAAACATGAGCTAAGTCCCACATACTTTCCTCCAAATCCCAGGAAATCGTGCTTTATTTTACACTAAGTCATATGATAATGATCTTGTTGGCTATCTTGGATGATTCCTTTACCATGCTCAGCAAATACGAAGCTGCTGCGTCTGGTAAAGTGCTAAAGAAGAGCAGACTTACATGCTAAGATGAAGAAGTCGGTTAACAGAAAAGGGTTTTTAATTTGGGTTAAGATTGACTTGTCTTCAATGTAAATGCACCCACATTTCTACAAAAACCACACACTATGTAATCTTATATGCTAATTTGGAAGCATTCTTGTTTGCTGAGACAAAGCCAAACTATATTTGATTTGTTTAGGAGATATTTGATTTCAGTAGCTTGTGCAGAGATCCCAAGTTTGAAGCTGTCTTGGCAGAATATCCTACTGAGTTGATATTTTTATGTGCTCTTAGACTGCATTCCCACAGATTTAGATCGATCCATCTGGATCGACCTAACTCCCTGGGGGTTCATGCTGTCAGTTAATTACCCCCTTACAGCTTTTAGTAGGCGGGACAGACATTTAAGCCGGCTAAGTTGACAGTAATCTAGTGAGCCTCCCCACAGATAAATCGATCTAAAATCTGTGGGAATGCAGTCTTACGCCATGAATACTAGACTGAGGGCTCTGGTGGTGATACAGAGAAAGGCTTCCTATCTGAGATTTTCGTACCAAATCGAATTTACCCC